TAAATAATATGTGTATTTTTTATTATATATTTTAATGTAAGATTTTACTACTTAATATATTTTTTATGTGTAAATTTAATATAAATATTAAATCTTATCATGTGAGTTAATATATTCTTTTATATATAGGTTCAATATAAATTTTAAATCCTGTCAAGTAATTTAATAATAAGCTCTAACCTCTGTACAATTACAAAATATATGACATATAATATAAATTTTAATTTTATTATATTTATCATATGTTTATTATTAAATATTTTAACATTTTAAATACAAAGATTTTTTTCCCTTGAATGTGTTCAACAATTCACCAGTCAACTTTAAAATTTAAATCTAGTTTTTAAATATATAGAACAGCCATCCTCTGGGACTCTTTAAGTTGAAATAAAGATAAAAATTTTATTATTTTTTATTTAAAATTTAAAATTTTTAAAATTTAATATTATATATAGTAAATTTTCACTTTTCTCTACCAAAAAATACAATTTTTAACTGAAAGATTATCTATCTTCAAGATTTATTATATATTTTCACTCAAATTCTGGTTTCAAGAAATATTTTGGGCAAAACTATAGCTGCGTGACGGAGATTTCTTTTATTTGCAAATTCATTGTCAATTAATCATTATCATATTTTTTTAAATAAATCACAATGACTTAATAGGTTAATGATTTAATATCACGATGATTCAATAAATATACTTTATAATTAATTTATATAAAAATATAAAAATATTAACTTTACTTTAATTAATTAATTAATTAAAATTGTTTATATAATAATAGTCTTAAAATGAATGTTAATTTTTAGTAACATGTATTTTTATTTAAATTAACTATAAAAAATATATTTATTGTATCAAATTAGATAAACTTTATACCTAAAATGGACAAATAAATTATGAAAATATCTAATTAAAAAAAAACCAATAAATTTATCTGTACTTTTTGAATTTCATTAAAATCGACAAGGTAGAAATATCAAAATGAGATGTGCTCTAAACCAAGCTTGCTTGCCCTTCAGATTTGCAACGGGTTGAGGGTATATGGAGAAAAGACATGGAAAAATCACTTACAAGCTGTTGAAAATGACAACCGCGCCACAGAATGTGCGGCGGAAAAAAGGAGCATCACACATTGTCCATTCCAATATTATTGACCCCACATCATGCTTTCATAGTTAGGGCATGTTTGGCGACATTGCTTCTGAGTTATTAGTTTTTTATTTTATTTTATTTTATTTATTTATATTTTATAAATTTAGATTTTTTTAAAAATTTATATTTTTTAATTTTTTTAACCATAAAAAAATTTTAAATAATAAATTTTAAAAAACTTTAGATCTCTTATTTTTTATAAACTTTTTTTTACTTATTTTTTATTCACTTTTTTTATTTTAAAAACAATTTTTAAATTTTTTTCAATAAAAATTTAAATTTATCACTTATAAACAACACTAAAAAAATAAAAACTTTAAGAAATTTAACTAAACACGCCCCTTAATTTGGTTCAAATCTTTAAACCATATAAAGATCGAGAAATGCCAAATGGGCTATTTGCACCCTCCACTTAATTGTTTTTCGCAGTCAACACCTTTCAACATTTTTCCTCCCTATTCACACTCTCAACTTTTCAAAACTCGTGAAAAACCCAACATTTTAACATGCCATCACGGTATTGTTACAAAATGCACTACGTGGCACTAGATGCCATTAGTAATCCAATGTGGATCTCTTTTTTAATGATGTGGCTTATTGGATGCCACGTGTATAGTAAGCCCACTTTATACGGAACTTTTAAAATAGATTTGCATAACCATTTTGGGAATTTAGGGTTTATTTTCATCCCCTTCTTAATCTTCCTCGAGCTTTCCACCCATGGTTATAATGGAGGTTGATTCAAATTGAAAAAAAAAAAGGAATAATCTTTTAATTCATTTGCAAGAAAAGTTGAGAATCAATCAAAGAATCAAATCATCATCTTATTATTCTATCATAACCAGAAACAATCACAGAAAAGAAAGGCGAAAGAAAGGTACAAACTAGGTTCGACAAAAAAAACTAGCCGCAAGCCCCCCCCCTTAGACTCTGATCTTCATCATCCCATCATCATCGATCATCACTCTCATCACCATCACCCTCATAAATCCCCAAGCAACCAAAAAAAGAAAAAATTCTTCTCCCAGCTTCTCTCCAACCCCCCTCGAATTTCCATCTTCCCACCATCTTTGTCGATCATTACTCTCATCACCTTCACCAATCATCAAACAGCCACCATAAAAGATCAAAAACAAAAGAACAAAAATTCATAAAAATCACTTCCCAAATCTGTAAAAAAAAAAAAAAAAAAATTCAAACTCATCCAT